TAATCCCAGCAGTACTCACACCCCTAATCCCAGCAGTACTCACACCCCTAATCCCAGCAGTACTCACACCCATAATCGCATTCTTGGATCATGAGTTAATCGCACAGAACTGCGCCTCAGTGACTGCGTGAGGCTTTGGGGGGGTCACATGCACATATACCATAATGCTGTCTGTCCCTAGCTGAGGGTGGAGGCACCAGCTCTCAGGAGCTCTGTGCCTGGAAGCCACAGAACGAGTAGTCGGGCTTTCCAGCTGCAGGGAGAGCTGCAGCTCACAGAAACCAAGTCCTAAGCTGCGGGGAGACTGGGAGGTCCAGCTGCCCCTTCCATCCGTGCTGTGACTGCAACCCCCTCTGGGTCCTGCAGTCCTTGGGTCACCTGTGTCCATTCCTCAGGGACACAGCCTCCTGCAGCAGGTGGGGCCAAGGCCACAGGACCTGGGACTCTGATTCCAAGGAGCCAAAGGAGCACAGTTTACAGTTTGTTTCAAAGTCAGGTCCACTGTCAGGGCTTCCTGCCGGGACCCAGACCCTCTGCACACGGAGTTGCAAAGAGAGCCGCCCTGAGGCTGCTGGGTAGATTCTCACAGAACTACCTCCGGCTCTGACAGCGCGAACGAGCTCCTTGGTGTTTACCCCGGTGGTCTGAGGACGCGTCTGCCTGGAACCTGCACGCAAGCAGCAGCCTTAGTCGCGGCGATGGAGACTTGGGATCGAGCGGCCAAGGCACCTTCCGTGTGCGGGAGAGCTCACCAGACACCCTGATGCGGGAGGAGGTGTGTGCGTCCCCGGAGGGCGGACCCGACTGGGAAGGGCCCATACGGCAGAAGGCCAGCCCGGCCGGTGGAAGGGCGAAACCAGACATAACGGGGTTGAGGAGGGAGACAGGCAGAGTTCAGGGGGCCAAAAGGCAGTAACTCCACTTTGCTGGGGCCTGTAGCTGCTCTTTGAAAGCAATGCAATGTTTCATTTTCTTGTTTATTCATTCACTGTGGTGCTGGGGAGGAGCCCAGGGCCTCACGCCGAGCTGCACCGGCCTGGGCCTTTTAAAGAAGCATTTGGACCCTCCCAAGTGGCGCTGGGCCAGGTCCCCGTGTTGGTTGCTTGGATAAAGAGCTCGTTTCCTCCTGCTGGGTGTGGCGAGTGGAAACAAATAGGCCAGGCAAATCACCGTTGTAGAAATTAAGGCTCAACTGTTAAATTCAATTTTAAAAAGCTAGCAGTCCACATCCAGTGTGGACGGATGTGCTGTTCAGGAGCAGCAGAGCCCAGCCCCCAGGCGTGGTCTTATTTGGAGCCGGCTGTGACAGTTCATGGGTTACTCAGGGTCCTTGCTCAAGGGGTGATGGCCAGACAGAGAGAAGCCAGGGGGCAGGGGGGACACAGAAGGACGAGAGTGGGACACAGGGTGGCCCTCTCAGGTCACCAACACCTCGGACCTGCCTCCAGGACCTGCCACACGCTGGCCCTTGCAGGCAAAGTGCCTACTCCCGGGCAGGAGCAAGGTAAAAAAGTGACCCTGGTTTCCACCCCAATAGTGGAGGAACCTACCAGCTGCGGGTGCAGCCTGGGCAGCTCCTGGGACTGACTGGGGAACTCCACTCGAGGGCATTTTTGAAGTGAGAGAGGAGTTTAGTGCTGGCTGGGTTAGGACAGTGGGGACGGGGTGCCCTTTAAAAGGCTCCAGGAGGGACGCCACAGCCACCAAGCTGAGCTTCCTCCTGACTGGTGGGCGATGGATGCCTCTGAAGGTGGTGAGGTGCAGGTATAGGCCCACACGTGTGCTCATGCTGTGCCTCTGCAAGATGTCACAAGGGGGACCTGGGAAAGGACACTAAAGTCCCGCATTAGCTCCGATGGGTCCCTGTGCATCACAGTGACCTCCAGACTGAAAATTAGTTTCATCACCAGATTGCTTGGTGCTCAAGTCTTGAGTTCTTTTTCCTGTGTTTGTTTGGATTTGTTTGTTTGTTTGTTTGTTGGGACTGGAAATTGAATTCAGGACCTTTCATTTGAGCTAATTCCTAGCCCTGAGTTCTTTTTCCTTTGACCACAGCCTCAGCTGACTAAAGTAAGAAAATCTGACATGCGCTGGCTCCTCGTGCCCAGCAGGTGGCAGAAACGCCCGAGAATGGTCCCAGTGCAGGGAGCCTGGCCTGAGACCGCCCTGCCTTGCCCACCTCAGGGTTAACTGCGTTACTTGTTTGTGGATGTCAGGACCAAGCTGGGGTCACCACGACAAGGGGTGGGCCCCTCTGCCTGGGACCCTGCAGCCCAAAGCTGACCACAGCTGTTTGCTCTGCCCCGAAGGAAGCTGAGTCAGGAAGCGGCCATCAGAGAGCACTTCCTACATAGCCATCTGGCCTGTAAAGCTGTCAGAGCAGCGGCAATGGGCAGATGATGGATGGGGACAGAGCAGCAGCAGGCAAGTCGGTGCAGGTGACAAGGCCTTCCAAGGCTCTGCAGGTGGCGCCCCGTGAACCCCAAGGGACCCCAGGCCGGGCGTCCCCAGCCGAGGCTTCCACCTGCACCACGCCTGCTCCGTGGCTGCTGTCTGGCTGTGCCCTCTGAGGCTGGACAGACCCGGACTGCGTGGCCCGTGTCACTAGGGCACTCCAAGTTCTGCTTGAAAAGCGTGGCCAAGAGGACCATGAGTGCACAAGGGCTGGCCAGAGCATGCCAGGGAGCAGTTCTGTGCTGGGCGTCCAGCCTGGCGGGGTGCGTGCCCACCTGCAGCGCCATGCTGGTCCCCAAAGAGCAGACCTGCACCCCCCAGCGGCCACCCTGCTGTGGTCCCTGGCTGTACCCTGGCCTTGCGTAGGACACAAGGGTGACGGTGCTGACCCTCACAGAGTAGTGAGCAGCAAGCCTTCTCTCCCTCCCTCCCTCCCTCCCTCCCTCCCTGTTTTTTTTTGGGGGGGGGTGTTTTTTTTTGAGGAACAAGGGCTTGAACTCAGGCCCTTGCACTTGCCAGGCAAGCACTTATTCTACTGAGCCATCTCCCTGGCCCCCTCCCTCTTCTTTTTGAGACAGTCTTACTACTGGACTCACTGTGCATCCTGCTGGGCGGCCCTCCTGCCTCAGCCTCCCGAGTGCTGCGGTCACAGCATCTGCCACAAGCCTGGCTACCGAGTGAGGTGTCAGGTAGGGCTGCAGCCCAGGAGCAGAGCACACTGTGCTTGTGTGCATGCAGGAGGGCCTGGGTTTGAGCCCCAGAACTGGAATAAAAAAAAGAAAAAAATCACCCCCTGGCTGGTTCTGCGTCCCCTGGGGCCATTTGCCAGGGAGGTGACAGTGAACAGCCTGAGAGGTGGCTCCAGCCCTCTTGCCCCGGCCAGCCCAAAGGTGCTCACTCAGAACCCCGCATTCCTCTGCAGAGCCGCAGTTTGTTCAGAGTGCCCGCCAGCCAGCGTCTGGGCTGTCTGCAAACCACAGCCTGGCGGGGGAGGAGCAGGGCTGGCCTCATGCCCTCGGCACCTGCGGCCGCGGGACTGTGAAGTCGGTGCAGTGGGTGTGGCCCCAGCACACGCCGTCCCTCCCATTGGCTGACCCCAGGCCAAGGGGGCTTTAAAAAGACCACCAGGCGGGCCTGGGGCTGGGGCCTGAGCTGCTAGCAGGCACCATGCAGCTGTCTCTGGCCCTGTGTTTCCTCTGCCCGCTGCTGCACACTGCCTTGCACGTGGCCCAGGGCCAGGGCTGGCCGGCCTTCAAGAATGATGCTACAGAGTTCATCCCCAGGCTCGGTGGCTACCTGGAGCCTCCTCCGGAGCCAGAGAGCAACAAGACCATGAACCGGGCAGAGAACGGGGGGCGGCCTCCCCACCACCCCTTTGAGGCCACAGGTAAGGTTCATAGCACTGTTTCAGGAACTGTCTTTTTTTGCAGGCTTCAAGGCCAGGGGTACACTGGCCTTGCTGGCCGCAGGGCAGGGGCATGGGTGTGGCCATCCAGGAGGGGATGCGGGAGGGGCAGTGCCCGCAGCCCACAGCACAAGGGTGGGGCAGTGGCCCCGGCTGCCCGCACCTGTGTCCACCGTGGGCAGCCTGGGAGGGACAAGCTGGGGCTCCAGGGGCCGAGTCACTGATGGTGACAGAGTGACTAGGTCTAAATCCCAGGATCCCTCTGCAAGGCAGCACTGCTGTGGGTCAAAGCCAGGTGGCCCCAGGCTGGAAGCTGAGTTTCACACTGTGGAGCCAGGGCCCACTGTGGGGCTGTTCTTGGAAAGCCCCAGGGCTTTTGGGGACACATGGGTCACCAGAAGCCACCCTCAAGAGGGTAGCGGGGCCCCTCCATCCCTCTGTTACCTGCTTCCCAGGGCCCAGGTGGCCTGGCCTCTCTCAGCCCTCTCTGGTTCTGTTTTGAGACTGTTTCACCCTTTGGGGTCACACTGGAACTGTGCCCAGGACACCCCTGGGCTGGTGGAGCTTCTGGGGGGACCGGAACTGGGTGTGGTGGATCCTGGTGTTCCTGGCCCCCCTCAGGTGCCCTAGAGAGTAACCCAGGACTCGAGGGCCCTGCAGGGAGCCTGGCACTCAGTGGGCACTTAGTGTAGGTTTGGGGTTCAGAGTCAGAGCTCTGTCCCCACCTAGGAGGGAAGCGACCGTTGTAAAAGGCTGCCCCCTCACTCAGCACTGCTCCTCGGGCCCAGGTGCTGTCTTTGGGCGGGTTCTTGTTCCGTCCTGGACCTCTGTGCCTGAGGTCCCTGAAGAGTTCCGGTCCTGGCCAGGGCTCTGCCCGCCTCACACCAGATGTCTCAATTTACTGCCTCCAATTAACCCCCTGCTGGAGAGGAATTTGGGGAAACCAGAAAGCAGGTGTGGCAGGTCCCCACCTGCGCCCTCCTGAGCACAGGTGTGGTGGTGGTAGGGGAGCCTGCATCTGGGCGCCACCTGGAGTTCACAGTGGCGACTTCCGATGCCCAGGGCCACCTTGGTCAGTCCTCTGCCTAAGGGGGTGGGTGTGTGGAACCTGCCCAGCCTCGCAGACCCCAGGAGAGGGTGGTGGGCAGTGGGGCCAGGGCCGCTGGGTGCATGGGTGGCCAGAGTACAGGATAACGCCCGGGTGTGGCCGCACTCACGCGCCCTCTGTTCCCACAGACACCTCGGAGTTCAGCTGCCGCGAGCTGCACTCCACACGCTACGTGACCGAGGGGCCATGCCGCAGCGCCAAGCCCATCACTGAGCTGGTGTGCTCGGGCCAGTGTGGGCCGGCACGCCTGCTGCCCAATGCCATCAGCCGCGGCAAGTGGTGGCGCCTGGGCGTGCCTGCCCCACGCTGCGTCCCCGATCGCCACCGCGCCCAGCGTGTGCAGCTGCTGTGTCCTGGGGGCACCACGCAAGCCCGCAAGGTGCGCCTGGTGGCCTCATGCAAGTGCAAGCGCCTGGGCCGTGCACACAACCAGTCGGAGCGCAAGGACTTTGCACCTGGGCCGCAGAGGGGACGCAAGCCCAGGCCGCACACTGAGCTGGACAATGCATACTGACCCTGGGGCCCGGACCCGCACAGCCGAGGGCCCCCGTCACGCTGAACGCACGATGCCCGAGGGGGACTGAGCTCTGGAACCCAGGCACTGGGAAAACACGTCAGCCAGCAGACTCCCGCAGGGAAGGGCAGGGACCCTCACAGGTGCCGGGCCACAGCCCCGCTTCTCGAGGGGCAGAAATGGACAGCGTTCACTACCCAGCTGGCTGAGGAGCTCCTGAGACCCTGCTGCCCCCGCACTGCTGCCAGCCTGGGCTGTGTGCCCGCCACACACTGCTGTAGCCTGCTGTGGGGCCTCGGCCCTGAGGCCCTCGCTGAGCCAGCGGGGGAAGGGAAGGAGGGCTGCAAGTCTGGGAGCCCCAAGCTGCAAGCTCCATCAGGACCTGCTTTGAATGGGCAGAGGGACCAGATCGCGGCCAGCCACTGCGGGAGCGTAGAGGCGCTGACCAGGGCGGGCCAGGAAGGCAGGCTGTGGGCGCCAGCCTGGCAGCTGAGCCCCTGCAAGACTGGGTGCCCTGGGTGGGGAGAGGAGCAGAGCGGGTCTTGGGGTGGCAGGGGACAGTCGGTCGCCCCTCATCACTCAAAGCAACATCCCTCCATGCCACTGCCGTTGTGCCCACCTGCAGAGATGAGCCTGTCCCTCCTCCTGCCCAGCACCCACAGACATGCTCTGGTCTAGAAAACATCGACTCCCGCGCCTGCCCCGGTGGAAACCCCAGCACTGCACAGAGGCGAGGAGTGCGTAGCAGCTGCTGCCCGCGTCCTCCCAGAGCTCTGCCCATCGCCGCCTGCTTTCTGTGCAGCTTTTCACTGTCAGGAGAGAAAGCGTTTTAGCTGAAGCAGCAGGGCCTCCAAAGGCGCAGAGCCGGTTGGTTTTGCCACCTTCCTGAACGGGGCTTGTCCCTGAGGCCAGAGTGGTGGCTTCAAAGAGTACATTGTGTATTTATTTTCCCGTGTAAGTTATTTATGTGAAGGGTAACCCTACAGAGAACGGCAGTGCCTGTCCTGCTCCGCGAGGCCCTGGACGCCCTTGCGCCCGGCCTTGTTAATAAAGACTGTACTGCCAACCAGTCGTGTGGTTTCCCTCCATCAGCCGTGTGGTGTCGGTGTTGTCCTGCCTCTTCACGCCGAGGCCCAGCCTATGGGGGACACTGGACTGTGTCCTTCCTTTCTACCCTGGGCCTCATGCCCTCGTGGGTCACTGTCACAGCCCTGACCAGGTCTGTGGTCAGCAGCTGCATCCACGCAGCCTTTGCTCTTTCCCCGTCCTAGTTCATCTGGGGCTCCAGCCTGCAGCCCCTTCTTCCCACCGCAAGAATTTCTGCTCTTTCCTGCCTCTTCCCTGTGCATCCTGGATATACCCAAACTCCACGGAACTCTCCTTGGGTGTCCTGGCCCCTTCAGCCTGGGCCACAGCTTTGGGTCCCATCCCAGCCCCCCACCGAGGTCACTACCTGGGGTCCCCATCTGGTTTGGCCAAGCACACGCCGCTTAGGATAAGCATTCTCCAGAGAAAGAGGGCCCGCATCTCCTCTCTCTGTGCTGGGCCCCCCAGGCATCTTGCAGAGCTGTTTGCTGGCTGGAACCCCGAAACCCCGAAGTACCCACTGGCTGTAGGAAAGGACCAGCCCCAGAGTGATCTGGGTCCCTCTGGGTGACTTTCAGGGTGGCTCCCCAGCCCCCTCAATTCCTGTGAGCACCAGCAAGTTGATGGGTGTCACTATGGCCAGGGCTGCGGCCCTGCCTCCGCCCCCTCCAGGTTCCAGCTCTGTAGGGGACCCATGGGTCTTGAGGCTCACCCCAGGGGGCACTGTGGCAAGGTTGGGGCATACAGGCTCTGCAGGCGGGTGCTTGGGAAGGAGGCAACACTGGCCCCAAGGCCCTGCACCTTCCCCACCCCATCCGGGCTCAGTGCCAGCCCCATGTGCATTTGAACGTGCCACTCTGGGCCCACAGGGGCAGGGACACATCTTGCACGGAACAGTGGGTGGCTGGTGGCACAGCAGGGGTGACACTGGGCTGCAGGGTTCGGAGGCCACAGGTGCAGGGCTGGCCTGGAGCTACAGTCCTCTCACTGCAGAGACCGAGGCCCTGGAGGCTGAATTGCAGGCCAGGTTTGTGGTCATTTGATTTCCACCTCCATGTGACCCCCACCCATGGAGCCAGGCAGGGCAGGAGGCAGTGTGTGCTGCGGGGCACCATGGTCTGGGGGTGCAGCCAGCCACAGGGCTGGGGCATGGGGGACGGAGGGCAATGGGCCTCGTCTCGCAGTCTCACGCACACGCACACTCACGCAGTGCTCCACGGGCTCTGCTGGACTGAGGCACACATCACGTTCCCTGGGCCCAGGAGGTAAAGCCAGAGACCCTCACTGGGCTGTAGGACCCAACGTCTCGCTATCTCGGCCGCAGACCACACCCCTACCCCAAGCCCCAGGAGTGGCCAGCAGCTGCCATAGTAATGTGTGGCAGGAGTTGGACATGGCCCCAAGCCTGGGGACAGGACTGTCCCCAGTGACACCCAGGATGTGGGGCATCCCCAAGTGGGGTGACAAGCTTGTGCCCTGCAATGGGGATGCCACTTCCTCAGAAGGGTGGGACTGGGGTCTGTGTCACACTCATCATCCTGTGCGGAGGCCCCGCGTGGCGCCGTGCCCCCCACCCTGCTCCTGCGGTACCCAAACCCCTCCTGCAGGCCACGGCGTCCTGTGTCTGCATTCGGGAGTCACCACATTCATCCTGGCCTGCTGGACCACGGGGCCCAGGACGAGGCCCCCCTCCCCCGACCCTCGCTGCAGACCAATTGCCCTGTGGTCATTGGTTCGTCTAGGGCTCTGCCCACCAGGCATTTCAGCCTGAGCCAGAGCAAGCATCTGAGGCCAAGGGAGCGGGCCGGCTGGGCAGCACCAGGGGCTTTGCCCAGTAGCCTGGGGCAGGGGCCGGGCTGGCGGGGCCCTGGTGAAAGTGAGTGGGTAGGGACACCATGGAGGCCGAGGGCCGCCCCACCCCCACGTCTTTCCTTGGGATTCCAGCTCAGCATGAGGCCTTCGGTTTCAGCCCAGACTCTCCATCCCTGGGGCTGGAGCAGATGCACCTTTCTGTGACAGCGCCCAGACACGCATGACTCAGCACCAAGGACGGGTGCTCCCTGGAAAGCAAGGAACCTGGCCGGCTGGGAACGGGTGTGACCAGGCCGGGCTCTTGGGAGGTGCCACTGGGCCAGGACATGCGCAAGGCCGTGTAGGCACCAGGTGGCGAGGCATACCTTGGGTGCCTCTCAGGTCCGGGAGTCTGGAGGCAGGGGTGGGGCCGGAACCACAGAAGGAAGGCCTGCGTGGGCACGCGCGTGTGTGTGTGTACACTTGTGTGTCATGTGTTCAAGACCAGAGCTCACCTGGCATCGCCTTCTTACAGCTCCCCGTCTGCAACTCGTGGCCCTCTACATTGGCAGCTGTGTCCCCCGCAGGAGCTGGACCTCGAGTCCCTCCCAGGACACAGGCCTGACACCTCCAGCACCACCTTGGGACCCCTGTTGTCCGTCCTGGGGCCCTCAAGGTCCTGGCCAGGATGGAAGCTGCAGCTCTGGGGCCTGGCAAGCACAGTGTGCAAGAGGGGCCGACATAGCCACCGGCACCCAGGAGGACAGGTCCCGAGAGACCTGGGTGAGGGACAACAGGCCTGGGGCTAGGAGAGGCTGGCAGGCTGGGAGGGACCGAGGGGGCCTGCTCCGGTCACAGGGACCCTGGAGCCTCCCTCTCTCCCTCCTTCCTGCCCTCTCACACACACATGTGCACACACACTCACCGTCTTGATTTGCAGCACAAGCATTTCCAGGGTCCTAAAGCCCCATTTCTGTCCATATCTGGGCAGTGTCCCTGAAGGCTGCTGCCATCTGTCACCCACTTTGGGCACCCTCTCTTCCAGGGACACCAGACAGAGGCCAGGACCCTGTCCCAAAGCCAAAGGCAGCCAGGACAGGGCATCCTGAGTGCAGGGCTCCCCGGTCCCAGACCCATCTCCAGGGGGCTGTGTGCGGTATGGGAGCCACCTCAGAATCCTGCCAAGACCCCCTTGGGACTGGGCCTTCCTGCTTTAAAAAAATAAAGATCAGATCTTGGGATTTTACTATCTTGGTTTGTGGAGTCAGGGTCAGGCTCTGTGGTGCAGGCTGGCCTTGAACCCACAGCACTCCTGCTGCCTCCGCCTCCTGAGTGCTGGGATCACAGTGTGCGCCGCACCCATGCTGTGGCCTGGGGCAGGGGCGCCAGCAGCGCTGGGACTGAGGCCCACACCTGGACTCCGGCTGAACTTCAGCCTCTGAAGACTGCAATGGGCCTGCGGGAAGCGCTTGTGAAGGCCCTGTTGGGCTGCGGCTCTCGGGAGGACAGGCTTTGTGTCCCAGGGCCTTGTGGGGCCTCTCTAGGGACGCCCAGCCAGCAGATGCCAGCGCTAGCTGCAGGCTCCTGCAGAGCCCAGGCAGCTGCCTCACCTTTCCCCACAGCTTCCTGCGGCAGAGCCAAGAGCCACAAGTCTCTCGCTTGCACCTGCCGTGCTCCCTGCCCCGTGGTCAACATGTGTCCCCCACCTCTTTTTAATTTTTTTGAGCCAGGGTGGTCTCAGACCCTAGCGGTCCTCCTGCCTCAGCCTCCGCAGTGCTGCGAGGACAGGTGTGCTCCACCACTTTGCGGTGGTCTGCCCCTTTAACCCGGCTCTGGGGTCGGGGAGGTGGCCGTTCTTCTTGGGAACGTTCCGGGTGGTGTCTGCCTCCCTGTAGGCAGGCAGGGCTCAGGACCTTGTTGCCGGACAGCAGTGACCGGAGCCAGGCTCCCACTCTGCTCTGTCCACAGCCGCCTGCTGGGCTTTTGCTCAAAGAGCCGGCCACGGGGAAGCACTCTTTTGGACTGATCTCCCAAGCTTCTCGCCCTCGGCCGCCTGGCCGGCCCCTCCCAGACCCAGTGCAGTGTTTACGCAGGACATTGTCAAGTGCTAAAGTGACAGGCGT